GTGAGATGGGTGGCAATGAATGAATGAATGAATGAATGAATGAATGAATGAATGAATGAATGAATGAATGAATGAATTGAACAGTGGGAGGGTACAGAAACAATGGCCAGCCCATGTTCAGTCTATGCTCTTATCAAATTTGCTTTTTTTGGTAGGGGGGGAAAAAGGACAAAAAGCCTAACTGTCCATTGTATGCAGGGAGTAAGGAAGCTGCCTCTGGAAACAACCAGGGAGGGCAGAGAGATCGTGGCACAGTGTTGTGATGCCTTGGCTATAGGGCAAAAAGGGGAAATCCCAGAAACTGAGAAATGTGAGTTCCCCACCTACGGGAAACCATTAAGGGAATGCATGAAACAAAACAGCCACAAAAACAATTGTTTTGAACATTGAACAATCCATTCTGGACATTTTCATTGAATGGTTCCAGGTTAGCCACTGTTTGGCAGAAATGAAACCCAGAATAGGTTGGTTGTTCCAAGTTGCAAATGAAACAAAATTAGGATGAGATGAGTGGGGTGAAAATGGTGCATGTCACATCCTCTCTAAGCAGCTCCCAGCTGCTCTTTCATTCTGTCCACCTTATTTTATGCATTTTATGCAGAGAATGGTTTGCACTAATAGGTAATCAGCTTATTCTCTCAAGGCCAACAATGTGGGAAAACAGAGGCACAGTCCTAGTCTGGAACTTCAGCATTCCCCTCTGGATAGTTTGAAAACTCCAGTTCTGTTCTTCTGCCTATCCTCCATCCCCTGCAATCCAGTCCTAGTATAAAGTTTTTTTCCTCCAATCTCTGTCCTGTCTTTCAGTTTCCAAATGCCACATTATCTGAGAGACCTTTCTGGGTAGGATGTCAAGGAAGCACACCTAATTTCCGAGGCTTTCCGTGTGGACTCTGGACTCTCTTTCATCACCTGACTGTGCAGGCAGCATGTCAAAACCAGTCTGGTAAGTAACGTAGTCTCTGTTTAGTTATCTGCATTACAGCTCTATGTCCCATTCATCACACTGAACTTCAGAATGGAAGGCTTGGATCCACAGCCATGGTCCTTGCTTTTTCTTGGGTACATTACTCTTCACACATCTTCACCATTCTGATGTGACCCTTTTACCAGAAAATACAGTCAGAAATATATTTACAGCCTATTCCATACAGAGGATTTTATACGTATTGTATTTATTATTCATTTATCAGATTTATATCCTAGATTTTCCTCCAGGATCTCAAGCCAATGTGCATTCCACTCCCTTCTCTTATTTTTTTCCCCACAAGAACAACTCTATGGGATAGGCTTGTGCTGAGAGAGAGGGGTCCAAAGACACCTAGTGAGCTTCCATGGGTGGAGATGGACTATCACCTGGATCTTCCCAGTCCTTGTCCAAAACCTTAGTTGCTGCACTGCAGTGGCTGTCATATTCACAATTTGAACATATTTAGAAAACTTTGGAGGGGGGGCTTTTCATCACTGGCAAATGCTCTGTCTTTGGTTATTCTTAATCTGAAGGATGAATGGGCAAAGGGGAATAGAAATATCACAAATGCTCTCATTCCATTTTTAATACTATTTGTGATTATCAAATTTCTGTCTCCCCTTTCTTTTGAGAATTCATGACAAAGCATGGGAGTTACTCTGTAATTGTATCTTTACAACCATTGCCCTGTGAAATAGGCTGGCCAGATAGCATCAGTGAGCTTGGTGGTCAAGTGGGCAGCTGAATCAGTCTCTCTGGTCCAAGTCCAGCATTGTAACTACTACACTACACTAGCTCTACATTATTTTGGCACACCTCACCCAAATAATTGCATACAATGTTATAGTTTAAGAGTGAGAAGGAAGTATTTAAGTATATCAGAAACATTACTTAAGCATGAAATGGTAATAGTGATTTGGTGTATATATGAACATGCTGGATATTTTTCTGTTTACATTCAGATAGTGGTCATTTACTCCAACAGTAAAATATTTCATTCTTATATGGATCACCTTGCCAGTTCAAATAGCAAAGGGAAATGATTTTTGATAAATAAATGCTAATAAATGATTTTTAATAAATAAATGATAGATGAATAACCCTTAGTTCCACCTCCTTTTCTTCTACAAGATTCTCACTAGAAAAGGGTTATTGATATGGTCTGGCTCTTTTTGAAAATGTCGGGGCAAATACATTCTTCCACTTTCATCTGCAGCTATTGTAATGGATTAAGCCAAAACCAGCTTTGCTTTGGGGAAGAAAGCATAGTTTGAGTTCACCTTGAGAAGACTGTTGTTATGGTTTCTTTTTTTAACTCCTTTACTTTGGTATTAACAATTCTGCCCCGGCCTCAGTTTCTGCTTCCTCAGATACACCTGAAGTCCTTCCTACAATGAGAAGATACGTCCGCTATTTCTTTGGCTGCAGGATGTGTGCAGAACACTTTGAAAACATGGCAGCTGAGTCTATGCATGAAGTGCGGACCAGAAATCAGGCTGTCCTGTGGCTTTGGTCAAGGCATAACAGAGTTAATGCTCGCTTAGCAGGTGAGTCCTCTGCTCCTGGCAGTGTGCTTGTTGACCACTTTAACTAGCAGATGTCCTTTTTACCTAGGATGGAGAGTAACATATAGCCTTCCAGAAGCTTATTTAGTTGTTGGATTCATATCCTAATTTTTCTCCAAGAGCTCAAAGCAGCATATACAGACTCCCTCGTCCGGATTTTCCTCACAGGAACAGTCCTGGGAAGTAAGTTGGGCTGAGAGAACAAGCTCACCCAGTGAGCTTCCATGATTGACACTGGAGTTGAACCTGGGTCTCCATGGTCTTAGTCCAACATGTACACCACACTGGCTGTCTCATTTGACTCCTTTTAGTTCTAGGAAGAACAGCCAATGATAAGGAATGATGGGAGTTGGACTTAGCAATATCTGAAAGACTACAGGTTCCACCTTTGGAGAAAGTACTCTGGGGGAATTTTAAAAGAACCTACAGGTAGTCCTCACTTACCAACCGCAATAGAGATTGGCAACTCCATCACTAAGCAGCGTGGTTGTTAAGCGCAACATCACCTGACTGATTTGTGACTTCCTGCCAGCTTCCCTGTTGACGTTGCTTATTGGAAGCTGGCTGTGAAGGTTGCAAATGGCGAAGGTTGCTAAGTGCCCAAATTGCAATCATGTGACTGCGGGGACGCTGCAATGGCTGTGACTTTGAGGACAAGTTGTAACTCTATTTTCAGCACCATTGTAAGTTCAAATGTTCACTGAATGAATGGTCAGTAAGTGAGAAATACCTGTATATTCTGACTGAGTTCCAGCTCCTTCAGCTTCTTTTTATACCAACTGACTATTTATGTCAAAACAAAAAAGCTACTCTGTCTCTACACCCAAATGATAGCTTCCTGTTTTCCCTGAGAAATTTGATTTCAGTTTATATGGTAAAAATGTCAAATGTGAAAACTTTCTTTTTAAGTATTGTTCTGTAGCTCTCTTAATGACAATTGATGTTGAATATGTGTTGAGGAAATTGAGAAACAGCTTGTTTCTAGAACTGGTTGATTTGGCTACCTTTTCATTGTACACTTTAATGTAGTTGCCTTCCAGGATGTACTGGTCTGTTGTAACAGCCATCTCTCCTCCCCTGGATTTATTGCTGTAACGCTGGAGTCTGAAAGTAGATAGTGGCCAGTTGAATCTGCGTTGCGATGGCACAGACTAAAAATGATCCAAGTTCTTGATCCAAGTTCCTTTCTCATCCTTCCTGTTAGTTTGCAGTCAGGGACTAATTAAGGGAGAGATTGTTTCTTGATTTAGATAGCTCCAATCATGAATGAAAACATTTTTGAAGCACACGCACGCGCGCATGCACATACACACAGAATTTTTATTTGACTGAGTTTACATACTGCACCAATCATTACCAACTCTAAAACAAAATAAATAACTTTTCTTTCTCAGAATACTTTGCTTAGTACTCTGTTAGGCTCAACAGGCTGTATTTCTGGCTCATAACTCCCTGCTTCAGCAGCCCTGAGGACACTGCAACTTGAAGAGAAACCTGAAAGACAGCCCACCACCCATTGTGCTGAAGAAAACCACCTTCTCTTTCCCTAGAAAAGGAGGAATTGCAGCAATGTGATGTAGGCAAGAGCATCCTGAATTAAACGCTGCCTGCCATAACAAAAAATTCAATGAAGAATATTTGAATCGGGAGGGGGAAGAGGGGGTCAGATAACAAACACCAGTTCTTGTTGCCAGAAAGGAGCCAGCAGCTGGTGGTTTTGAACCAGAGACTTAGCTACTAAATCTTATTCATCTTTCCTACCGGGGGCTTCTGAAGGCTGACACGTGCCCTGGGAGGACCTTCCTCCAAGACCGCTGCCCAAATGCTGTGCTTCTCACAGGCAGATGCAGTCCCTTGTTCTACAGTCCTGTTGTCCTTGACAGGGGGAGGAGTAGGTGACTCCTGTTGACAGATGATTGTGGGAGGGGAAAGTAGAGGGACTCATTGACCAAGCCAGGAATTATTTACTCTTTGTCCACTTGGGTTTTCCCACCCTCTCTCTCTAACCCTAGGGACATAATCTCTGATCTTCGAAGGCATATTTTCTTACTCCCTTTACACAGACACCCACCCACACATTTATTCCTTCAAGCCCAGGGTAGATAACAGCTACTTTAAACGGGCTAAATCCTCTTCAGAATTTCACCAGAGCCTTCAGTAGATGCCTGTTAAAGTCAGTCTAAAGTAAGTCCAAGGGAATGTTGATGACAACTTGCATATCTACCTAAAAATAAGGAAATGGACCAATGAATGTAGACAGTCAGCAAATCCTTATTGTAAGCATTTACTAAAATTATAATGTTATGATTTCAAATATTCACAGATGCTTGCACAATATGATTTGTTCTCAGCAGATTCTCCATATAGGATGCTGATCTGTATTTTGGGACACAAATTCCATATCTAAGATACTGATTGTATCTGTTCAGAATTTAACCAGCTCATTCCATCTGATTCAGAAAATTAGTGTCACCCCCACTAGGTAGAGCAGGCCAGGAAATCAACTCCACAGGAAGGCTAAAACTACTTTTATTGAGATTGACTATAATAACGGAATCTTGCAGGTCTGATTGTGCTGCACCTTCTTCCCCTTCTTATACTCGATTGAATTGCTTTGGACTTAAAAAGCATTTCAGCCCCTTTTGCCTAAGTAACAGTTCTTACATATGTCTGTAAAGGTCATGTTCCTTACTCTCTACAATTAAAATTAGGTATCCCTCGATAAAAATAAGCTATCCCTTGCATGCCCTGTTCTGGTAAGTTTGGGGGAGGCAAAATTTGTTGGTTGATTGATTGATTGATTGATTGATATTTGCTTTCTCAGAACATTTCTATGGCCACTCAATTCAAACAATATGACTCTGAGTGGTGCATAAAATCATTAAACAAAAATACAAGACAGTACGTGCCACTAAAACAAAATAAAACAATGTAACGGTTTGTTGTATTCTACCAGATGAGACCTCTGCTCATCTTGGCCCAAGTGCTTGGGTTTTAACTGCTTAAAGTTCTGATAGTAGTGGTCTGCTTTGGCAAAGGCAAGTCAGATTTTAGGAAATCTACATGGTGCTTTTTTGTTTTGGAAACTGGCATTAAGAAAGCAAATTCATTTCTCACATAGAATCATGCCGGTATACTTTTGTGAAGGAAAAAATAGTATTATTTCCAAGTAGTGGTGGTGACAGTGGTGGTGGTGGTGGTGGTGATGATCTGCTACAGGCACTTTTCCCTCTTAGGTATAGCCTATAATTTAAATTTTAAAAGTTGCTTGCTTGCTTTTGTCATATATGTGTAGGCAAGTCACAGATATGGTATTCCGGTTCATATTTCTAGTTCAGCAGTGAAACCCACAAGATGGTAGAGGACAAGTTAGCACCTTCAGTCAACTCTTCAGATTGGAGCAAAGAAAAATACTGGAAGAATTGTAATGTAGTTAACAAGTGAATAAATAAGGAAAAGGTTATTTTTATCAGTTTTTTTTTTCATCCAAGCCTTTACATCCTTATCTGGAGATGGATTATTGAAACATTTTTGCTGTAGAAATCTTTTCTTGGCCAAGAACCAGAGAGTTCAAAAGTTTGCAGTGCTTTCAAACTAATGAAGCAAATATTTTTTATTTTTTTCTTCAAACCTGCTTCATTGTCAACCATTTTGAACATGCCTTTATGGAAAAGCAGTGTTAATATTTTGATGTATACTTCTCTTAATATTTTATGTCATAGTTATTGAAAACACAGTAAAAATTGTTGAAAGCATTAGCTAAGATAAGTATTCCATAACTATTTCCATAAATATTTATAGACATCCTCTGGGTTACCTTTTGGTTCGTGAAAATGAATAAGCATTGATCAGTTTTTTTTAAACCCAATCAGTATACAGTAGTTATAGTTTTATTTAGTGTGTGCTTATAATTAAGTGCAGTACAGGTAAATAAAATTGTACACCGTATACACCAACATCATTGTTGGAAATTAGCTAATGCAATATAATAATCGGTATAAATGATACTTAATACTAGCAAAACTATAGTATAAATCTACAGTGAATAATGAGATAAGTTTTCTGGTTTCATAAATGTCCATCATAAAGAAGCATTTTAAGAGCCTTTTAAAAATAAGGTACCGGAGGCAGTAATTAGTCTGGGGATGGGTCAAACTAATTCCAGTCACTGCCCATAGACCAAGTAGCTTGTAAATATTGATGCATGTAAGAATATAATTTGAATGTCATGAAAGTAAGATTTTGAATTTCTTTGTTCAGGTACACCAAGTGATGATCCCAAATTTCCCAAGATCCAGTGGCCTCCCAAAGACTTGTGTCCATCATGCCGTTATACCCAAACTGAAGGGTCTTTGCGGAATGAAGAAAAGCCTACGTGGGATAAGGATGCTGTCCTGCTGTTTCTCAAAAGGCACTTTTCTGAAAAAAATATTTTCATGGAATATTTCATGGAGCATCGAACAAGGAATGGTCGAAATGTTGCTCAGCAAAATTATGAAGCTGAGTGGAAGCTAGAAGCGGAAAGAAGAGGAGAAGAGAATGGCCAAGGCAGTCAAAAGGAACTAGAGGAAGACAAGAAGACAGAACAGCCAGAGATTGGGAAAGTGGAAGAAAAGAAATATGCCTTGGGAAAACCTGGTTCTCCAGAGCCGCATAAACCAAGTATTGTCAAGATGAGCACAAAGGCAAAAGAAATGGTGGAAGATATTGTTGATCTTGATACATTTAGCGAGCAGCATTTTAAGAGCAAAGCCTTGAAGATGGCAAGGCAGATTAGCATCAGACAGAGGCGGAGTAAGAGGGACACTGGGCTGTTCCTAATGGAGAATGAGGGCCGCCACTCACTTGATTATATTAGAGAGTCCCTGAGGCATAAGAACTTGGGAGTCCAGTTCTCTGGCATACAAGTGGAAGACGTCAAAAAGAAGAATTCTTTGAGGGAAAACCAGTGGATCCACATCCTGGGAATGGGTTTCTCCCGATTGGATGTTAGCTTGTGTATTCTCTTGTACTTGCTTTCTTCTGTGTGCCTGTTGGGCATGTACACCTTCTTCCGCATGCGCATGAGTTACCGCAAGGGCCGGTCAGGCTACCCATTGACCTGAAATTGAAGCAGAATTGCAGCAGCCAGTGGGTAATGGAAGGGTTGTGTGCATATCAGCTTGTTGTGGTGATTTCTCACTAAACTAACAATTCCTATCCTGAATATACACAGATACAAAAATACACAGATATGTCAGTTGTGAAGGGTGCAGATTGGTGGAGTATGCTATTGGACCTTCTAAAATGCATGGAAATTGCTACTTCTATGTATGAAAGATTATCTAGCAAAAGGACAGGCCTGTTTTGTCACAGTTGCTACATAATTAGTATATATTTGTACCAGAATAAAATAGTTGAGTTTAGTGCCAAAAGGGGAGTGGGTTCATATTTCAGAGTATATGGTGACAGGTTGATTGTCTGAGGAATCAGGGGACTCTAAAATGTTTTGGCTTTTGTGGGGGGGAGGATTAGTTAGCTGAAAGGATTTAGATCTTCTTAGATAAATGTAGTAGGGTCCTCTTCAACAATCAGAGCATAACACAACTACTTTTTTTTTTTTTTTTTAAAGCATGGCTAGTTTAGGACCAGCAACAAAGTGGCAGTTCTGAAATCGTTGTGCCTTGTGTCTTGAGATCTGTCTGAGCCCTGTAACATTGTGAAGAAACCTTATGGTCTAGGTATAGAAGCACAGTCTAAAATACTGAACTGGAAGATCTCTTGATCAGTTTTAATCTGTTTCCAAAAGCTTCTGCGCCACTATGAAATTACCTTCCATAAAGCCAGCTACATGGTATTGTTTGCAGGTGGTGGTAAACAAACAAACAAACAAAAAATTAATTTCTCCCACCCACACCCATTTAAATTGCATAGGCAGAGGAGTTTTTCACCCTTCTGCATGATTTCATGTGGTCCCGCTTAGAACATACTTGGTGTTGTTGCCTGTACTTCCCATGCAACCCAGCCTCTTGCCTTGATCAGAAGACAAAAGGCAAAACAACCCTTAAGGTTTCTGAACTTGAACTCATGGTGTAAAGAATTAAAAGCAGTTGGCAACAAGTTGAGGTCAAGGCTGTGCAATGGAATAGATGGATCAGTGTGAGTCAAAACCTGACCAGGGCAGCAGTTTTTACTAGCTGCTATCCTTGTTTCAGTCCTTTCGCTGTGTCTTTTCTCCCTGTAGTTCCAATCATCTTCTTTATCCTGGTAGCTTCAGCTTTGATGTCATTCGCCTTTTCCATCCTATGCTGTGGACTTATATCTATCCTAGTTTTCTAGCCAGGTCACTTGTATCTTCATGTTTTACTTAATAGGAGAGAAGACGTGAGGGCAAGGGAGTATTTTTAGGAGTAGGAAGTGCAGCTATCTCTTCCTGAGCCATGAGTTGATGATTTATGAAATTATTAGAATTATCCCTTTTGGGGCACATCCAACTGGAAAGAGTTCTGGGGGGTAAGTTGATCAAAACCTCTAAGGATCCTTTGCCATTAGTTTGGTCCACACAGTTGCTGATGATAACTTTCCAGTTGTTCTTGAGCTACCTCAATGGGGAAGGAAATAGCATGGTCTTGTTTAAAAAGAAAGAAGTCATTGGCATTAAGTAAATCAGAAAAAGAGCTAGTCAAGCAGGCTTTCTTCACTGGGGAAGAAGGTAAGAATTTATAGGGTAGAAAGACAAATGATGATGATGATGGGCCTAGCTGCCTAATAAAACATTGCAAACCCCTATTCATTGCAATTACCTGGTGGCCATTAGCTCAGGAGGAAAGGGGCTGGCATTTGGAAAAATAGGACAATATATAGCACAGGCAGATATTACTGAAGGTGCATTCCTCAGAAACTGACATTTTTTTTGACACTGCTACTTTTATCTTGGTTTGTCTCCAGTTGTCTTTGCAAGTGAGTGCTCTTTTTTATGCAAGTGCGTTCCGTAATTTTATCCAACCCAACTGAGCTAATATGAGTAGTGACTTCAAGAGTCTGTGATTCAAACCTCACATATCTCCAGAACTTTCCTGGTAATCAGACATGTCCCCTCAAATTCAATCTTCCATCTTTTACATACATACTCAAAAAATTGATACAGATTACAGTGTGATGAATCTTTAAAATCTACACTAAAATATGTATTGATATTAATCTCGGAATATCTGCTTTTCCAGGTAACCATATTAGAAAATAAGGAGGAACAAACCTTCAAATACAGCTCTCCTTTTGGCTGTTGAGAAATGCTAGTCATTTTATTCAGCTTTATTTTCAGCCCCTGCTTTGGTAGGTTGAAATAAACAAGCCTAGAAAGTAGCATCCAAACATGGCATCTGAAGGGAATTAATCACTATCATCCCTCCATTCGTCACAATTTCCCAGCACATCAGGGATTTCCAATTGGATTTCCCATTTGACTAAGATCAGAGAAAGCCACGGTCTGAATTTTAGGACCATATTGTCCTCTCCAGAGCTTGGTTTGGGTGTTTGAATAATCGAATCCGATCTTAGATGGGCAGGATCTATAAATAATGCTGATGTCATGTAGTAGAAATGACCAGTGTTCCTCAGCCTCAGCAACTTTAAGCTTTGTGGACTTCAACTCCCAGAATTCCCTATCCAGCAGGCTGAGGTTTCTGAAGTTGAGGAACACTGGTCTAGACTAAATTTGATTAGACTGTAGGATTTCAAGTGATAAGAATTCTCTGATAACATTTAATGCTGTAGAATAGTTACGCTTTCTAAAAGGCTTCCTGTGGGACAATAGCCTTTCTAACAGTTACTTGCCATTTGAAAATGTGTCTGAGGTAACAGTACAGTTAAAACAGAGAAAGGCTCAGTAAAATTACTACCCCCAATTTAAATTTTAAAGTCTGAGGGTCAAGGACCTAACCAAATGTTTACTATGCATTGTATTTGCACTAAATGAGAAATACTAGACTTTCACAGGTAACATATAGTACAGGCTTGCCTGGTTCCAAGTTGTACAAAAAAAATTCTGAAATGCAACTTTTTAATATCACAGTAAGAGATTTCCTTAATTGTAAACTGCCCTTTCATCTTCTCATGGTTGTTTATCAGTGACAGTAAACACCAAGATTATATTTTGTTTGTTTAACGGTTGTGTGGGTGGTCAAGGTAGGATGTATTCAAAATTTTCTTTCAAATGATGTAAATGTCTCTCTGTGCATAGGCTGTATGGCAAAAACAATGCTACCACTGCCTTGCTTCCTTTGTCAACATAATTCTACTTTCAACTATTAATTTATTTAAGGGCTGGTAGGTTTGAATGACTATTCTAAAAACCTGTTAGTTCTTTTTCAGTATCATGTGTTTAAGAGGTTAGCATTCAGTGTGATTTTTAGGCAGATTTTTAATAGCTAGGGTGGGAATTATCAATTACTCTCATGGAACATACTCTATTCTCAAAAAAATGTGGTTTGCCTCACAAATTGATTTCACAGTTGCTCAAGTACTAGTATAGTTGGTACCATCTAGTAGTAAATGTACATGTTGAGAGTATGTGTGCTTGGTCAAGGGTGGAGAGTAAAATTATCTACAAAATGCAAAGAATTAATAAAAGTATTCTTAATTGCTCCTACTTACTACTACTTTTCCCCTTATGAGCAAAACTGAGAGCAGTTCCCCTCTACTCATATATAGTGATGAAGACTACTAGAGGCCAGAATGTATTCTAGTGATCAGATCTATCCTGTGAACTGCCACTTGACTATCCTATAGTGACAGTCATGATGTCTTCTTCATTCCTTACAATATAAAATACAGATGAAGATCAAGACTAGAAACCAAAATCATGGAGTAGGCCTATACAATTAAATGGTATATCCTTGTCCTTCTCGACCAGATTTGTCTCCAACTCCATTAAACTAAATGAGAAGGAACATACTGTTGGGTGAGGCTTGCTGATAACATTCTGCTTCATAACAAATGTGGCTGATGCTGGGGGGGGTGTGTGTGTGAGGGAATCACCAAGCCAAGTGCTCCATGTATTTGGGCCACAGACTGACTGGGGAATGAAAGAGGTGTTGTGTGTATTGTATACACTGAAATTGCTAATTACATGATCTCCCCAAGTATGCCTTGTGTTTCCCAGAATTTCTGTGGCAGTCTACCTCAGAGGTCATTGCAGAGAGAAACTGTCCTAGTCATCTTGCCATACAGTAATAATAAACTTGTCTGCTGTTCCTTTTCTTCTGTACCATAATGCTTGTTGCCTTATAATGGGTCACTGAAAGAGCCACTTTGAAACGGGAAAGGGGACCTTTTTTGGTTAGTTTTTATTTAGAGGTTGGCATAGAGCCATGTGAGGTGGTTTCCTGCCTTTTCTTTGTATTCTGCAATGCTGCACAGAAATGGTCCAAGAAGCATCTGTTTTCCCAAATTATTTGACCCAGTGGAATAAATTTATTTTTGCTAATAAATAAGTTTGCGTGCGTAGCCTGTGTATTTGCTTCAGGTTTCTAAGATTATGATGCATTGCACCGACTAGTGGAAAGGAAGTGGGAAGTTCATAAAACTAAAGCAATCTTGCACCTACACCCACACCCACACATACAAACACAGCCCACTTAAATTGCCATTGGATTTTTTTCTAAAATAAATTTAGAGACTGAATTTGAATTTACTGTACTCCATGAAACTTCCAATAAAATTCTTTAGTTCCTTTGAATTTTGAAGAAAGATAACAAAGGATTTCTTTTGTTCTCTTTTTAAAAAAATTATTAGATATTATAATTGCAATAGTAAAAACTAATACAAACTAAAAGAACAGTAGAAAGAATAAAAAGAAAAAAAATCAGAGAGAAAAAATATAGTAAAAAGAAAAGAAATAAAGACATGACTTCCAACCTTCATCACAACAAGTATAAACAATTTTAGTAACTTTTCACCTCCTTTTAATTTACAATGAATTATCTCTTCATTTCATGTTGCATCTCTTATCTATAAGCAAATCCATAAAGCATCGTCATTTCAGCTCTGGTGTCAGCAAAAGGCCATTAAGGGTTACCAGAAATACAACGTATCTATTTTAACCTTGATCAAATAAACCAACTTTATATTCCTTTTATGCCTAACAATCTTAATCTTTAATCCATTCAAGTAATGTTGATTTCATTTCTTTTTTGCCCCTTTTCACAAGATTCATCCAAGCTTTAACAAACCTTTTGTAAATCCAGTCTAAAATAATTATCCAGGTCACTCTCTTGATTTATTATTTGTAATTCCCTTTTGATTTTTAAAGACACTTTTCCATGTCATTTTTTTAGCCTGTCATTTGTAGATCCGCTTTCAGTGTCAACTCTGTCTCTCTCGTCAGATAAAACTTATTCCTCTTCTGCCATTTCTTCCATAACATCTTTTGGACACAGTCTATCCATAGAAGCAAACATTGCTATTGGCATTGTTAATAATAACTTCTGATTCCATTTTTCAAAAGTGTCCTTCAGTATTTCCAGTGTTATAATACATCGCATATTATAGCTGTTAATCAGGTTTATGCATTCTTCTCCTTTAAAATCTTTAGTTCCCTCTAGTGTTCAATTTCAAAAATTGCTTATCT